AATTTATTTTTATACACATTCTTTCTTTACATATAATTACTTTATACTTTGAAGCATTTAAATCATGAATAAAACTCCGTCCCGACGAGTCTATTTAAAACAGTCTTCAATAATAATTATTCATCACAAATTAAGAACGGTTTTGCTAAAATAAAGTTTTAATCGGATTTTTCAACACTTCAATCATCTTTTCATGTAGAATCAAATAAATATCACATCATACAAATTAGAAATTCAAAAGCACAATATTTAACACATTTCGTGCCAAGTTTAGTAACGGAAGTAAATGAAACTATGAAGGATGTTTGTACTTGCAACAACTTTGGTTATCGATATATCGTATACGTTTCTTTCAAGGTAACCACTCGAGGAAATGTACACGCTTTATTATTTCCTGGCATGCGAAATTAGCATGGGACCCGCCCGTTACAGCGGGGCCCAACTAATCGACCGACTCGGTTCCCGCGGGGAGCAAGGGTTGCGGAGAAATTAAGACAATAATTTACAACCGTTACCACCTGCCCTCGCAACACGCTCTCACCCAGCTGCACCTGCAGTTACTTTATCCTTTCCTTCGCCTCGCCCCACTGAATTTGCTCGCGACCGTGCGTTCGTTATCGTCTAATTTCTACTTAAATTAGTTTCGACCACTTTTCACTTTCCTCTCCTTGTTTACCTTCTTTTATCTTTGATATTCAGGCGTTATGAAGCAATCGACAGGCATATTATATCTATATTTGTAACAAGGGCAAAATTACAGTGGTGCGAAAGCATCTCGTTTTCCTGGCATGAGGTGTCGCCGATAGGGAAAATCAGATGGGCGAATCGGGGATGAAAAGGTAGGGGTGAATACGTGATTCATCAGATCGTACACAGTCGTTGTGTGTCTGTATGCATTCGCGTTTCCGACCCAACAACGCTCCCGGCAACGCTCGGTGTGCAACAGCGATTAAATATTTATCAACTAATCCCTCGCGTCACGCAATTCGAGTTACGATAAGAAATTCACGATTTGCGCGCGGCGTTACAGCGCACGAATACGCGCGCACACGTTCGTGGACACCGGACGTATGCCGATATACATATATCACGAGAGTTTTACCGCAATAGTATTTTTCGGGCTCGCCCGATGGACCATAAATCGACTTTTCGCGAGAGCACTCGTTTACACGCGACGCGGCGGCAATATTTCGTGACGATGTAAGCAGACTATTTTTCGTGGGAACGCGCAGACACTCGCAGTTGACTAGTCGTTGAAATCGCAATAGTAACATCCGAGAGCGAGAGAGAGAGAGAGAGAGAGAGAGAGAGAGAGAGAGAGAAATAGATGCACGCGGATCATTCTATGCCTGCAGCATTGTGCTCTCGATTCGGGTCAATTTTAACCAAAATGAGCCGCCGCAGCCGATCAGCCAGCGATTCACACTGTTTCGAACGCATATCTCTCTTTTATTAGGGCCACAAAGGTAATCAACGATTTACCACATTTGTATATATACGATTGTATTTGCCGGACAAAAAATACGTGGAAAAATATACGAACAGTGGAACACCTGCCGCGGATATATTTTTTGTTTTGTAATTTAGCGGGTGTTGTTACGTGTCGCGCTCTCTATTTTTGTAAATTATAGCTGGAATATCGGCGTTAAGATATCGGAAACGGTTACAGATGACACAAATTGAACAGTGTATTGTTTTAAAGAATAATCGATAATTTATCGCATCGCGATGGCCAGCGATAAAGAAGATAGTACATCGAAAAATATGCTTCTTTCTATAAAGATAAAGAAATAATACACATAAGAACCGCATAAGTTATTTCGCGTATATTACAGGGAAAAATTCATTTTGTTGAAATATCTAAAAATTTCTCCAAATACTGAAAATAATTTCGTTAAAATACTATCAAAATATTACGTATTCAACACTGTTAAATATTAAAGGTTTAAATTAATTTCTTAAGTTAAATAACATTTGGTTATTTTTGACTTTCAAGTGTAAAAATATATAATTTTATTACAAAACGTGTGGTTAGTAAAACTTAATCAACCTATTTCTGTTGAATTGCTCCGTTTCAACGAAAGTGTTCATTAACGTATATATTCACTTAGTAAATACTAAATTAAATTTGAATTAAATTTGCTACATGCTTCTTGAATAAATTGTTTAACTCCATTGTTTCAATTAAATTAACAATATATTGAGTAGAAGCAGTGGTGACCTGTAGAAATGATTAAAAATAACTCAAATGGGAATTATAAGTTGACATTTTGAATTTGACAATGTAAAGAAGTTCAAAAGTTCAAACATAAAGAGCTCCAATCAATTTTAGCAATCAGCCTGTCCGTCCTGTATAATTATTTTATTTTAGTCTAATAAAATTATTTTCAGATCTATATTTAACTAAACTTATAGATACTTTAACGGAACTGTTCTTTTTATGTGCGCCAGAGTGGTGAAATTTCTTCCAACAATACGAGTAGTAATTGCATTCCGATAAGAAAGTATACGTTTTCGATTCTACGACGAGATTTTTGAGAATGCATCGCGAGGTCGTGACGACCGTAACGACTCATGCATTACGAATGCGCAATGAGAGTGATCAAATGTGCGTTAGCTGCATACCATCGCGTCACGCCGCGCAATACAAATCCCGCGGGCGGGCGAAAGGAATTACAATGCATATAATACGCGGCATTTGACTAGCTCCGCGTATAACTACGCTATTGTAAATCGACAAACATTTCGGCGCATACAAACGCGGCCTAGTTATCGGGATATTTTGCCGTCGTGCCGCGATGGTAAAGCGTCTGGAATATTCGAATCATAAGTCGGGCCAATTCCCACATTGTTATTAAACGCGAGACACGTTCCGCGGAAAATTCCTATGGAAATGATATAACTTTGATCTGTTTAATTTTGCGAACTTGGAAAATCGATGGGATCGTAGGAGTGAAGTTTTCGCGAACTTGAAGAAAATGAAAATATCCGTTCTGTAAATCTATGAATTATTTATGTATTTACTTACATAAATAATAGCGATGATAATCTTTATAACATTGTCGTAATTATATCTGTTGTTTACCGCAAACATTACCGAGAATGCCTATTAACGAAACACGAAGAGGAGACGCGTGCTTTTATCGTCGCTAGATACCCCAAAGGTACTCGGCCTAATTGCATAAGTGGGCCTCCGAATATCGACCGGGCGAGTCGAGCGTTGCACGACACGGGGTAAAAGGGTAAAAGAAATAAACGCGAAGGAGCAACGCGGGGGAGAATCTTCCACGCGAGAAAAAGGAAAGAGGATGAGCAAGAAGGAGAGAGAGAGAGAGAGAGTCAGCCAGTGCCGATCGACGAAGTCAGGTCGAACAACGCAAGGTAGGAAGGAGAGGACAGGTAAAAAGAGGCAGGGCAAACCGGAAAAGACGTCGAACGACTCGAAGAAATTGCTCTTAACGATCTTCGATTTTCTCGTTAGACGGAATCGTTCTTGGAAGCGCTGTACGCGACGGCCAGCGTCGCTACGCCTCCTGCATTTACCGCCGAGCTAGCTACCTATAGCTCGAACCTCCGCCAACTATCAGTTTTCTTTCTATCAGCAGCCACCTTTCGTCTCCCCGTGTCACTCCTCCTACCTCATCCTCTCATCTCCTTCTTCGCACAACTTCTCAAATTATCCGCACCCTTCCGCACCCCCTTTTCCTTATTACTCCTTTAACCCAGTCGCAGCTTAACTCGGTCACGACGTCGTTGATCCTACCAAAAGGCATCCCGTTCGGCCGACTTTAATCCATTTTAATCGGACGGGATGAGTTAATTTTAAAATGTCCTCGTAATTTTACTCCTGCATATTTTGTTATGTAATTATATATTTGCACTCTGTCGAGTAGAATTAAACCGCGAACATTTATTATGCACAAAACCCTGCATATATCTGTCGTTACTAATTTACGATAAAACGTATGGATAAACTGTCATGAAATATAATTTATCTAAAAAGTTAAAATATTTTGTAGTAACGTAAATATTTAAACAATTTTTTATATATACTCATATATTTTTAAATTATTATAAAAACTGAAACTGAAATTATGAATTTAATGTTATACCTTATTGCCGAAAGTTATGTTGTATTAATAATTTGGTATAAAAAAACGATAAAAAATGAAATATTACGAACAAATTATAAATATTACGAAGCAAAAATTGAAGACAAAAATTTTTAAATATGAACACATTTACACTATTAAATTTAATGTTAAAATGTACTAAATTAATTTTAATCATTTCGTAGATGATATCTGTCTCTTACTCAATATGTCGTTAATTTAATTAAAACACTAAAGTTAAATAATTTAACCAAGAAAATGTATTAAATTTAACTCGAATTTAGTTTATTATTTACCGAGTGCATACGTTAATATAGACGTATTTACTTTAAAGCTATAGTAATGGATTGATTCATATTTTGACACATATGAAAGTTAAAAATAACAAAATGTTATTTATCAAAGGATTCAGTTGTCATTGCTCCTTTGATATTTAACAGTAGAGAGATTTTATCATTTCTTTTGCAAAAATCACAGGGAAGATAATCTGTGACAGATCAACAATTTCGATATAGACTCTTCAACGAATTTCTCCTTTGGTGCGTTGCCTCCGTAGAAAGCGGAAAGACCGCAAAAAAAATTTTATTCCTCACAAATAATAACCGAAACGCAGCGACAATAGCTCTGGCTGGGTTATGTTGTATTGACGGCTGATATTGTATTTCTCTTTATATTTCCGGAATGAGTTGAATGCCGTTTCTTTCGAAGTGCGGATAGAAATACCGCACACATTCGTTCGTTCGTGGCAAAAAAAAAAGGGAAAAGAACGTGGAATAAATCTGAAAACTGTATCGAATAGACGATTTTCAGTAGCTCAATGGGCTTCAGGGCCTCCGAGTTATGTCATATGACTGACTCGTATTGTCTGCCTGTTTACGTTGCCTGAATAGCCACCACATTGTTTCGCTTCGCACGCGATGTATGACGGTCAAGTTGTCACACGTCCGTGATTTTCACATTTTCTACGTACACAGAAACGTAACGCGGACTCTCATTCGATTTTATCGCGGTCGAACAATTTCTCATCTCGACAAAATTATTGAATTATTTCATAAAACTTTTAATTTATTATTGTAAAAAAAATATGTCGGATTATTATTATTCATTTCAATAAATCAGCCTCAAATATGATCTAGATAATATTCTATATCAATTTGTATGAATGTAGGATGTTTTTTGCGTTAAAAAATTGTTTACGTGGCACATATTTATGATTCATCATATATACGCAGCGTATTAATTTTTTTATATTGTTTAATGACTTCCGGCTAAATTTTGTTATTTCACGTTTTGCGCCTGTTTTAATATAGTTGAAGTAGGATAAAAGCACAACTAGAATGGGGAAACACTGTCAGCGTTAAGGATGCGTAGTAGCGAATACAAGAGTAAGGACGCCGTTTGCGAAGTCGTTCATCTCGTTACGAAATGTATCCGAAAGTTACACACGTTTCAGCTAAACTACTATTTCTCCAAAGAAAACTAGCTTATCGAGTTATCTCAAAGCATTCGTGCGTGACGAAGGTAACGATACCAATTCTAAGCTCCTACTTGTCTTCTCTCTGACAATTTTTTAAAAATCCGTAACTATTATTGTAAATAGATTGTATTGTAAATAGATTAGATATGCACGCGAATCTCCAAATTTAGATTTTTCTTTTTGAAATATGTATAGGGTGAGAGATAATACAATTTTGAATATGGTACAATTCTGAACAAAATAAGATTTGAATCCACTTTTAGAGATGTAAGTTTGGTTTTGTCTTGTTTGATGGTACTCTTTAGTACTCTCCTCACAAGATTACAGTTACCAAACTTAAATCTTGAAATTGGATTTAGATCTTATTTCGGTCAGAATTATATCTTATTTGAAATTATGCTATCTCACTCTATATTGAAGCTTTATAATTATTCAATTAATACCTTCCTAACTTTGCTCACACTTTAGAGATCAAAGGAGCAACAGTAACCTTTGAGTTAAATAACATTTTATTATTTTTGACTTTCATGTAGGTCAAAATGTAAATCAATCTATTTCTGATTCCAAAGTAAACAACGTCAATATTATATACTTAGTAAATAATAAATTAAATTTGGGTCAAATTTAATACAGCTTCTTTGAGTTAAATTATTTACCTTCTTGTTTTTGATTGAATTAATGGTATATTGGATAGGAACAGTTGCGATCTATAGAAATGATTGAAAATAATTTAAATTGGGTATAATTTGACATTATGAATTTAAATACATACAGTATACACATACACATATGTAAAGACGCATAGAATCTGTATGTTCCTCCAGAAATTATATAACTTTCTATACTTTGCACTGCTTCTGATATAAAAATTAATCAATTTTCCAACAAAACTTCGCGATTCAATCATAATTTTTGTTGTTATTGGCTGCGTTCAGTAGAACGTTTATTTTGCAACTGTTGGAAGTTTTCTCCTTGCTGATTGGATTATACTTTTAGATCTAGAAGAATGGTCTTATCTCAGCAGACAATCATAAAACGGGTGCAAAACTGTTGTATTCTGCTGAACATAGCCATCGATTTATTTTTATGGTAAAAACAACGTAAAATAAAATTGTTACGTAATGCTTGAAATTCTGTAGATTCCATATTTCTGGATATTTCTTTCTTTAATGATATCATTTAATAACGATTTATTAAGGGAATTCACGCGGGAAAATTTTCCTATTGCACATTAAAACGCAACCTTCGCTTACGTAATTCGAATAATTGAATGTCATAATTATTAAACTGTCACTCATATTAAAGTCATAATCTTTCTTGCTTCAGACGGAAACTCAATTGTCACTAGAATAAACTGACACGAGTATGCGGTGATATAGCAAATAATTTGTGATAATTCTCTCATTAAAGAGAAATTCTAGCGACTCAAACATCTAATTCGTCATATTTCAACTGTCTGTCTATAAAAATAGACGAACCGAAAAAAAAATTTCCGCTAATAATTTTTTATTCCTTCGTGTTTCAGTTCAAGGTCTCGCAACCCTGACGGCGCCATCGCTTTGTCTTTTGATAGCTGCAGTATTACAACGATTTCTGCTGCCTGTGTAGAATCTTCCGGCACGATGAGAGTATCAAGCTGACTAACGTGAGAGAATAATAGGAAAGCGGATCACGGAGGAACCGGAAGGCAAAGAATGACCAACGTTTCGTGACGAAAGACAATCATATCTTAATACGAAGCGAACTACGACGAGAAATCGCGGGGGATTCGCGTCCTCGCGATTTTTGCACGTCGCTGCGCCTTCTCGTTAAACCGAAGGAAAATAAGCATTGATCCGCTCGTCGTTACTCTCGAGAGTACACATTCCCCCATCTTTCCAACACGCATAAAATCCTAGATAGTCTAATTAATTACGGAAGAAAATACGCGATAACCAAGTGGGCATCCACAAAGTTCTCGCACGTGCGAGGAACTCCTCCTTGACGCTCGTCTATTCTGTTAGGATCGATATCTGCGTCGTTACTCGTGAAATAGATTCAAATCGGCCGCACTCAGGGGTTCAAACTTTCGATAACGAGAAGAAACTTTTCGAACTTTCCATCTTAACGATATAAGTTGGAAAATGAACTGATTCTATAGCCGTAAAATAAAATTTGAATAAAATTTCATTAACAAATTATTATGGATTTAACAGAAACTGCAAATTGGACTGTCACTTGATACTATTACATAAAATGAAACATTGATTTCTTACTTTCTTCGGAAGTTCGAACCCCGCATGAATCTTTATTTTTTATTAATAGTTCCCAAAGAAGTACAATCAATCGGAATCATGGATGAGAAATAAGATTTTATGCCGACAAAGGGAAGAAAAGTAAGTAATTCAATACTGTATCAGATAACACTCGCGAGTTAATTAAGAATTTAAAGTCTACACCAAGAAAATTTAATGAGCTAAAAATACATCCAGAGATTCCGATAACGATATATATCGATTCCCACATGCAATTTTCGTTACAATGCGAGACTTTTGACATTTGCGATATTTTTTCGTCGAAATAATATGCAAATCTCGTGTTTTGTATTTTCGTTTTTCATTTCTTTTGCTTATGTTTGAATCATAAACATGATTCAAAAATATATAATCTGAATAAAGAGACAGAAATGATAACGTATACGGAAAAAAATATCTCGGGGAAGTAGTTTTAAAAAACGATACATAATTTTCTGAACGTGATATATTGCAAGTTTTTAATTTGCAAATCTTCCCGTGATATAATGATATGAAATTTTTGCAACCAGGAGAAATCAATTTAAAAACGTCGAGAACGTTGTACCTCAGGGTTCGGAAACCATCTCAGCGTGATACCGTTGTCAGTGATAACAGGCGCAGCAGTTGTCGAGATGCAATCGTTATCGATTGTATACGTGCCGCGGTCGAGTGTAAATATATACAACAACAAGGTAGGCACACATTTTCATCGAGCCCCGTCGTAAGCTTCCTTCATTCTAATTATAACTTTTAATTGATACGTGTAATTAAAATAATAAGCCAAAAAGAAATGAATCTCCGATTGCACAATCACCCACCCTTTTTGCTGCAAAATACTTTATCACACCGAAAAACCCGCTAAATGAATAAGTGCAAAAAAGAGAATCTCTCTGGGGTAAACAGTAATCCAGAAGTGCATTTATTATCATAGAAAAGAATATCGTTAGAAAATCTTGAAAGAATTTATTCATCGTTATATTATAGATAATGCTTGCTTCATCAGTTTTTGATATCGTTTTATATGTGTCCACAAGTCATTCAAGAATTATTAAAATTCATATTATATTTAAAATCGAAAACGTGATAAACACCGTAGTTCGTAGTTGATCGAATTGAAAAAAAAAAAAAAACAAAATGAAATTGAAAAAGTATTCACATTTCAACTGTGAATGTTTTATCTAAAAATATTTTGGAAAACATTTAATTATTTTGTATTTAACTTTTATGAAAAGACAAAACAAAGTTTATTCAAACACTATACGATAATTTATTCATTTGATAGTTGGTTAATCGATTAAAGATAACATCAATGAATGTAAATTCGTAAATTGACAAATAAAAAATCATAGTCTTGTAAAAAAATTAAGGAATCCATTGGCTTGCTGTTTGCTCTAGGCGTTTCAACACCTGCGAGATCGTACAAGCGCATAAAATGCGTAACGAACATCAGCGCTGCAGTGTTGCGCGAAGTGTTTATTTTTTTTTATCGCGTAAACACACATGTATATAAACATATATGCACGAACGGTAGCAGCCGCCATCAACGATCGCGAGCGATCGGAAAATATGATTCATACGCGTAAGCCGATTAATTTACAAAGTTCAACGTACACACGGCTGACGTAGATATTTATACAGGACTCTCCGCGGAAATGCGTTATTTTTTCACCCGAGATTAATAGTTGTTATATTTCTGCGTTTCGCTGTGTTTTCGCGTGTCTCGCTGGTACAGTTGTGCGTCGTCGCGATCGACAGATCGACGTAAATAAATAAATGTTCACATAATAAATGTAATAACCAGAATTTTGGAATACAGGGGCGTAAAAAAATCCATTACATCTACAAGATATCGAGGTCTCAACAAAGTGGATTCGTATCCAAAACTAGAATATTCGTCTTAACGAGAATATTAAACGAGAGGATATTCACAGACTATACGATTAAGATACCGTTCATTAAGATTTAGTTAACATTTCCAAGAGGACGACTCGATAAAATATTCAATTCAAATTCCAGGTTTTACAAGCGATATCGGTCTTTGCCTTCGTCGCGAATACAATCATCTTCCATAATCCATAGAAAAGCCGTTCGTAACTATACGTGAAATGATATCTACATAATAGCCATTGAACGCATTTTCGCGTGTGATTTGCGTCGTTTGCCTTATTACCGTAATTCTCAGTTATTCAAATTCCCAGCTTGCATGGAGAATTTCATAACAAAATGTGATACGTTACTGGTGATGAAGCATATTGAAATGTTATATACACGCGTTCAGAAACAACATTATTGTTTTTTTTTTTGTTTCGCTTTTCCTCGATGCGCATATCGGCAACGTGCAACAAACACGACCGTTAAGCTCTTCCAGTTCCATACTTTCTGTCTCGAAATCGATAACTTCCCAGGTAACAGCAGCAAGATCTCTCGCGACCATGGGACTGTTCGCAGGATGCGCCGCATTTATACGGAGTCGCGTGAAGCTGTAATAAAGAGGAACGGGAATATGCGAGTCTTCATTTATAACAATTTCGTGCTCAGTATTGTGCTCGGTTTGTTTACGAATGAATCGAGCGCAAGCAGAACGCGTTTCGGCGTATAAATACAATTTGCGGGATGAAAAAAATTGTTGTACATACGATTTTTAACGAGTTGTAACGCGCGTGTGAAAGGTTCTGCACGCTCGGGATGTCTCTTTGGCATGCAAAAGACCCGCCGGAACTTCAAGGTGGGAGGTGAAGTTTCGAGTTGAGAATTTGTCATTAATTCTCAGCAACGTGCTGCGTCATAGCTTAAGAAGGTAATACGTCATCGCGACAGGACGAAGGTACATACACCGTTTTAATTACATATATGTATAATAGTGCATTACTGTATATTCATTTGGTTTAATTTCTTTTTTTATGCGGTTGTATTGTAATTACTGTCAGATATATGTTTGGCACAAATAGATAACTATTTTCTGATATGTTATGTGGATAAACTTTGATATCCAGATAATATAAAAAGTACAAAATCTTTCAAATGTAAATCATTAATATTGATTAAAAATTAAAAACAGAGCGCAGAGAGAACATATATGTGTGTAAACCAATAAATACTCAAAAGTCGAAATGATCGTTCTGACGTTCAGATTTTAATTCGTATATCAGCAAAATTTTCATATAATTATTATTATCCTGTACGTTTATCAGAGAAAGGTTTTTTTTTTAAATAATAAATGCAACCAGACGTTTTAATATCTCATTTGATAGAGAAATTTCGCTGTAGATAACGATGCATAAATTCTGCATTACATTCACCGTCGTTATTTTCAATCTCCAATTATTACACTTTGTTATATAGTTAATTAACTTCGTCGACACAATTAAACGCACTCGATGTACAAAAACTGTACCTAGCTGATACGTCTTTTCTGATTACAACAGGAGAACACGAGGCACTTTATATTTACATATACCAGCAAGCTTTAGCTTTTCGTTTGCTTTGAAGTTGAACGGCAATATGTTTTGCGTCTTATCGGGGACATATCTCCGATATTTACGGCGGCGTAAAGGCGAGTAAAGAATTGTACATACCCTTGTATATAACTACGCTGTAATGTATAATAGTAAAGAATTACTCTCGAAAGGAGGACTGAAGGACTTCGGAAGTCTCGTGTGTGATTAAACGAACGCGAGAACGTCAATCTCGCGTCCGATAGGAAGATAACAGATATTTAGCCATATTGTGAAAGTGTTCAAATGGCGCGTTCCAATTATTGCGGAACATCGCCAGTACAGATAAAGAATATACGCGAGAACGCGCAAAAAACGCGCCCGTATCTTCGCTCGCGAGGCGAGATGTGTAGTTATTAAAAGAGAAGAAAAAATAAAGACGATGTACTCGGTGTTAGCTTTCAGTTGTAACGAGCTTCTGGACACACACACACATATACACATCCACACCCACACACACACGCCCACACCCACACACGCCCACACAAACACACACACACACACACACACATGCACATATACAAAATAAAAGCGCCGATGCGGAAATAAATATATGTACCTCTGTACACACTTGTGTTTTTAAGACGGTAAACGCACGAGAGACTCTTCGCCGTCGCGACGACGAAGAATCGAGCGTGGGCGTGCCGCTCATTGAGAATCAGGAGCATACGAGAAAGATTACGTTCTTATATGTATGGCCTAATGTATATATCTCGCGAATTTAGTAATAAATCATATTTCATTATATCTGTCTCTTTTATTAACCCAAAAAGCCCAAAGTTGATATCGGAAAGCGACAAAGCGTGTGATATTGATTATTGCTAAAGTGATGATATATTGTATATTCTTTCTTTCGCGTGAAAAATAGGATTATTCCAAATCAAGATTAAAAACGCTCGGTCTTTCATTACGAAGACAGTTTAAGCCGCGGATTAATATAAAGTCGTTAATTATTATTTATTCTGCCAATAAACATGACGCGAAAGAGCTGATGTTGATGCATATGCATGAAACTAATATTATTTTCTCCTCGCTGACTCCACTTTGTGAAACAATTTTGCCGAGAAAAACAACTCGTATTCGCGGATCGTTTGAGAGCCGATGGTGCCCGATGGAGAATAAACGCGTCAAGAAATTGCGATTCTTCGTGTTCGAGGATAATAGTTGGACGCAGACGGGAGAATAAGAAAGAAAAAGATGCACGGGATGAGCCAGATAGAATTTGAAATCTCCGGTCGGTGTAAACGGTTGGTCTACCGGCTGTTTCCTTGCTCGACTGATCGTAGATCGCCGGAAAGCGATTAACGCTAACGACTCGTACGAAATTCGCGAAAGAGAGAAAGAAGGAGAGAGGAACGAAGAAAGACAAGAGGAAGGAGAGATGCATGCCGTCCTTTGAATATGTATCGATGCATATTTTACCGGGTGCTACCAGAAAAGATTTTCGCAAAATTTCAAAATGCTGCAATTCGAGACAAGCCGGGTACCACATCGGTCGCATAAGTACGATGTCATGGTATAGCGACGCTGTAATATCGAGTATAATTGTAATACAGTTGCATTAACAATGGCAATACTATGGTTGATCACTAAGCGTCGAGATATTTTCTACGCCCGCACGTGCCGTAACTTCGGAAATAAGCATGAAATTAATTACCGTTCACCGGCATACCACGTTAACCGTGCTTGTTTAACATTATTATTCACTGGCGCATACCAAACGGTAACTGCGTTTATTTAAAGTTACGAGTTAAGTTATTACATGAAGAGATACGATTTGCATTATATGTGCGCTGTTCTGTTTCGTGGTTATTTGTATGTATTGTATATAATACAAATATATTGCAAAAGTATATTTTATATTAACCTGATTAGAATAAAATTCTAATGTATATACGTATACAGGATGGCCTTAAATTACGGCATCATCTATCCTGAGCAGGTAGAGCGGATTAAACTGAGTTGAAAAGTACCATTTTGCAATTTTTGCAATAGTTAACGAGATATTAATTACACGGGAACAGAAAAACAGTAAGAGATAAAAATTATTTATTTTCATCTCATAAAGTTCTGAGAATTTTTTCAGAATTTTCTCAGAATTTTTTAATACCGTATTTTCTCATGTTGCAAAAATAAGAAAATGTAGTACTAAAAAATTGATGATAAAAAATTCTGAAAAAATTCTTAGAGTTCTATGAGAAGAAAATAAATAATTCTTGTCTCTTGCAATTTTTCTGTAAAGTTGATTACATTTGAATAAAAAATTATTAAAGACCAATATTTTGTGATTTTTAGTAATTAATATCTCGTTAATTCCATTGCAAAAATAGTAAAAGACTTTTTGACTCAGTTTAGTCCGCTTTACCTGCTCAGGATGGATGATGCCGTAATTTAAGGACTGTATGTCTGTCAAAAACTTAATTTATCAAGTATTATTATATTTACTACATTTATAAATGTAAATAAATTATACCAATAAAAATTTTATACTGCTATGAAAAAATTATTACAAATAAAAAAATATTTTTCATATTTAAAAAAAAACTTTTTAAAACCCTTGCATTTTTGCCATATATCTCATTGGGATGGGATATACCGTTGATGAAAAATTTACAAATAATTTAGAAACAAGACGAAAATGATACAATAACTTATAAAATGTGTCTACAACATTTTAAAATAAGAATAATAAATACATATATACGAAGTAATAGACAATAATTATAATCTTTTTGCATATGTTACAAGTATTATAAGGTACGTGTTTCATGTAATGAATTTATTTCATTTAACGCACTAAATCCAATCTGCATACTTCATATGCTTTGAACATAAATTCCGTCCGATAAAAATGCCGTATATCTCCCCAAACAAGTGGAATATACAAGACATCAAGCTAACAAAAAATGCAAGAGCTAAACTTGTATTTTGCTATACTTCATTCTTTACTATTCTTCTATACTTATATATCATCAAATAACCATTAAGCCTTTTGCATTCCCAGTATTTTATATAAGTTATAATAAATAATTGTGCTATTTACTAAATTGACAAATCGATTCAACTGATAATGGCCTTATTAATATTAACAATAAAAGAACTGAAACGATAACACAATATTAATATAATAGAAAAACATATGACAGAGTGCTCGTGCAAATTATTCCCATCCTATTATTTTTTCCTAACTTCTTCACGTGGCAGAGTGAAGAAGTTACCCTAAAGTATTACTTAATTGTATCAGATATTCCGAACAATCGTATAAGTACTTGCATATATATAATTCACTTTATTATAATTTAGTTTTATGTATCACTTTTCATCCAATTATTTTTGACTGAAGTACTAAAAAATTATCGCGCCTCTCATTACTACTATAGGTAAACATGTTCGACGAAATTCGTGGATCTCTTCGTCTATGAGCTTCGTGAATATTGACTAGTTGCCTAATCGGTTCTTGGCATAATGGACCAAACAATTCCCACGGTACGCGTAATAAAGCAGGTCTGTGTAGATGAGCCGCCATTGGAAAATCGATAACAGGCGATGCGGACAGATACTATCTGCTGGCATGTATCCGATACAGGCATGGCTCGTGCCAGAAGCATTGATCGCGTTACCAGTACATGAATAAGCGCTACGAAAGGAGGGATTATAACAAGCGGCGGACAGGAGACGAAAGGGAGACGACCAGTCTGGGATAGAGCTGAGAGGCGGATGGCGGAAACGAGAATGTTTGAGCGCGAAACTCATCTCCACGTCCCCTTGACTTTTACAAACTCACTTTGGTCCAGTTAGTATTGACACGGATGGACAAGCTTGATTTATAAGCGAGAGTGTGCGCGACACGTCATGAGTGCATGTCTCGTAATGCACTTGACATCGCGACACGGGCGATATCGCGACGGGTTGTGATGGAAAACGAGCCCCCGTCGGGTCTCGATGCTCCCTTTCGACCGCGTTTAACGACCGAACATATCACTTTTGGCTCGGTAACGCGAGATAATTAATTATGCTGCCAGCTGACATCTGCCCACGTTAAATCCCCGAACTGTCGCTCCACGTTCCTTCTTCGATCACTCCGATCTCTGGTACATAAGCTGCTCTTTTCCCCTAGTTTTGTTCGAAGTTGAGCGCACAAATTCAAAATTCTAATCCAAGGGACATAATTGCACGATGAGGCAATATTTTAATATCAAGCCGAACGTGATATTATTCCGCGACTGACGGATATTCAAATGTCTAGGGAGATTTTTCATGAATAAGCCTTCAAGACGTGACCTTGGCGCTTTATTGAAATTATTCCAACATTGGATTGTCAGAATGGGAAAATCGGTATCATAATGAATTGATCGATCCATCGATGTACCCATCGGCAACGATGCCGTTGACCTGAGTATACAGTATTACCTTCCTTTAAAGTGCAGGTTTCCTGTCTCATTATCGCTGACGAGCTCAGTCAGTGCGGCGTTACTCGTTCCTATTGTATTTTTCTTTTTGTTTTTTTTTGTTCCTTTTTTTTCCGTTTTCTCTGTGGATTTCTCTATGGAACATTTTCAGATGGTTGGTGCGCGACAATTCACTCGAGACTTGGGGATTATGGCGAATTAACCCCTTCTCGTGTAAACTTGTGCATCTGTCGCGGCCAATTTAAAAGTCACGTTTCCCAGGTATAATTTACAACAAAACGCGCATACGCGACACACAGATATTTAAACAGATTATTGCCAGAAGCTTTTTGCTCGCCATCCAAACAAATGGATAACATTTTTTGATAACACAAAAAAATAATATCATACAGAATTTTAAGTTACGCACACGCCGACGAATTTACCGAATAGCAAAGCCATATTTCTACGTCGAGTTTCTATCGTATTGCGAAACGTGCGCTTGCATTAGATGTTTAAATATCACACTGACAAAATGGATGTGTAAAACAAATACCGACGAATATCGACAAATATCAAGAAAATAAAAAAAATCAAAGAAATTCTGTCGTTAGATAACTTTAAATATTTATTGTGTGAGAAAGAAATCCTCGGATAGTAATCGCAACTCATGTTTCATTAAAAATTTATTTCCAATTTTCTTCATGAATATAATAAGCAAATTTTTAATTGGATTAAAAATACTTTTTGTTTAATATTAAATTAAATATAACAACATTAATTTTTACATTAATTAATCCAGTTAATATAATTTAATATAATTTATACCAGGCACTTCGCAGTAATATATATATATATATCACATTGAAAAAAATAGACTTAATTATAAATATTAAATGATAATTATTAAATATTGAATAAAATAATTTTATTTTCTTGAATGTTTATTGATTATTATCAAAGTTGGTTATATTATTAC